AGAGAGAGAGAGAGAGAGAGAGAGAGAGAGAGGCTATTTTGAGCAAAAGAAACAAAGAGGGAGGCATTAAGCTACCTATTTTCACAATATACTATAAAGCTGTAGTAATCAAAACAGCATGTTATTGGCATAAAAACAAACATTTAGACCAAAAGAGCAGAATAGAAAGCTTGAAAGTAAACTCACAAATCTGTAGCCAACAGATTTTCAATAGAGGTGCTAAGAAAAGAACACACATTGGAAAACAGACAGTCTTTTCAAGAAATGGTCCTGGGAAAATTGGATATTCGTATGCAGAAGAAAAAAGCTAGAACTCTCTGTCTCTCACCAGTTACAAAAATCAACTCAAAATGGTTCAAAGACTTAAATGTAATACTGTAAACTACGAAACTTTTAGAAGAAAACATAGGGGAAATGCTTCAGGACATTTGATTTGGCAAGGATTTTTTTTTTTAAATACCCCAAAGCACAGGAAACAAAAGCAAAAATAAACATAAGGGATTACATAAAACTAAAAAGTTTCTGCACAGCAAAGGAAATGCTCAATAGAGTGCAAAGACAACCTACATAATGGGAGAAAAAAATTTGCTATGAGTACATCTGATAAGGAGTTGATATCTGCTATCTTTGAGGAACTTCAAAAACTGAATAGAAAAAAAAAAGGAGACAGAAAAAACAATCTTAAAAATGGACAATAAATCTAGATATACATTTCTTAAAAGAATATGTACAAAACGTCAAGAGGAACTTGTGAAAATTCTCAACATTACTAACCATGCAAGAAATGCAAATCAAAACCACAATAAGATATGACCTTACCCTAGTAACAAAGGTTAAGTTCTGGTGTGGATGTGAAGAAATGAGAACCCCTTGTTAGGTCAGCAGGCACTTCCCTTCCTCCTCCTCTTTCATGGCGGCTGTGGGCGGAGACTTTCCACTGGCCACCTGCTGAGGCGACCTGAAATGGCCAATCAGAAGCTGACATGCCATAGGACCTCAACCCCCCTGGATTCCCACCTGCTTACCCAATGGCCCTGTCAACTCAATTAGCCCTGACCAACCCACGACAAATTCAATCCACTTTAGCTCTGCTGGGCCAACCTGCTGTCAAAGTAGCTGCAATTTAGATGGCCTGGACCCTCCTACTCCAGTTTCCCTTATTAGCATAGTTCTTCTCTGCCTTCCAGCATGTGACTTCCCCAGCCCTCACCCTTTCTTGGACTGGGCTGGGAGCGCCTCCCAATAAACCTTTTGGTGACTCATTCTTATTTTGTGGTTCCTGATCTCATGTGCCCCTTTCTACTTTACACCCCTTATGCCTAAGACAGAATGCACAACCCTTGTGGAACACAGTGTGAGTTTCCCCCCAAAATTAAAAATATAACTACCATTTGATACAGTGATTCGTCTACTGAGTATATATCCAAAGCAAATTAAGCCATTATAAAGAGACATCTGCACTCCTGCATTCACTTTAACCCTTTTCACAATAGTCAAGAAATGGACACAACCTAAGTTTCTATCAAATGATAGACAGATAAAGAAAATGTGGTACATGCACACAATGGCATACTATTCAGCCAGAAAAAGAGTATGAAATTATTTTGTTTGCAAAAACATGGATGGAATTAGAGATCATTATGTTAAATGAAATAAACCAGGCACAGAAAGAC